ATATATATATATATATATATATATATATATATATTTCATCTAATAATTGTTTATGTGTAATTTGAGGTTCCGAATTTTAAATGAATTAACAATTGAAAGAATAGGTATTAAATATTATATTGTAATGGTTACATCATATTTGTTATCATTACCAATATAACAATAATACATTAAATTAGTTTTTAAAACATAACTGTTACATCTTTTTTTGAATATTACAATATTTATTACAAAATAAGGATATAAACAGTAAGTAAAAAGAAATCAAAATTTACCATATTGAGCGAAAATTTTGGGGTGGGAAAATGTAGGTTATTGCATTAATGTAATAGCCTACAATTATATATATATATATATATATATATATTTCATCTAATAATTGTTTATGTGTAATTTGAAATCCCGAATTTTAAATGAATTTACAATTGAAAGAATAGGTATTAAATATTATATTGTAATGGTTACATCATATTTGTTATCATTACCAATATAACAATAACACATTAAATTAGTTTTTAAAACATAACCGTTACATTTTTTATTGAATATTACAATATTTATTACAAAATTAAAGATATAAACAAAAAGTAAAAAGAAATTAAAACTTACCATATTGAGCGAAAATTTTGGGCAGGAAAATGTAGGTTATTGAATTAATGTAATAGCCTACAATTATATATACATAGATTATAATGATAAAGTAGAATACATAAAAACAAATTATAGTCATCATGCAAGATATCAGAAAGTAACAATAAAACAATAATACGACTACTATTAAGCAACATGATAGCAACATGAAAACAACATGAAAAACTACAATTAAATATAATGAGTTAGATTTATACTTCATATCTAAACCTAAAAAAAACACAGAGCCACAAGGAGCACTGTGTCATTCATACCAAATTATGCAACATATTTTTTTCTTTCTTTTTTTATTTTTTACGCTTCATAGCAATCAGTTCAGACACCAGCCCATAATATTTATATCTCAATTCAAAGATGGATCAAACATAGTCATTTACCGATAATGGTAATAGGAAGTCATTACTAGAAACCTTTAAAAATCAGAAAGCCAAAAGGAACATGAAAAGCTGCAAAAGATACCATTTACCAAACTTAGTTTTATCGAACAAGTGTGCACAGACTAGAGCACAGGCCGGCCGGAGAAATTATGTCTGATTTCGAGCTTCTTCGGCAACGGCCAGCATGTTCACCAATTTTCGCTGGAAATCAGGGACTGTAAGATTAGAGAATCGGGGCAAGAGGGAGCGGTCCCATGCAGATTAAGCGCACCATAAGAGGGTGAGCCTAGGTGCACCATAGTGAGGTTCCATCCCAAAACCAATTGGTGATGGGAGGAGTAGCTCACTTGGCTTATATATTAGGCTTATTTTCCTATAAAATCAATGTGGGACAACTCACAAGTGATACTCCAACTTAACAACATAAACATCAAATTTTATTGAATCAAACATAAAATTTGTACATGGTTTGAGAGGAATGATCGAAAGAACAAAGGAGAGAAAAGATTGAGAGCCGCGCTCGGGAAAATGGAAAAGAAAAAAGTGAGTTAGGGGAAACCCTAATCTCCTATTCATATGTAGGCTAAGAAAGTAAATACAAAGAAGACTATGGGCTGAAATATAAAATAAATGATAATCTAATTCCCCCCGCAAGATGAGCATGGATGTTGAGAATGCTCATCTTGGAGAGACATCTTTGAAAAGGCAAGGGCTGCAGGGACTTAGTAAGAACATCAACAACTTGATCCTGAGTTGAAACATGTTGTAAAGTGATGATGCCTTTGGAAATCTTCTCTCTGATCAAATGGCAGTCAATCTCTATATGCTTTGTTCTCTCATGGTGAACAGGATTCTTGTCCAAAGCAATTTCAGACTTGTTATCAGAAAAGAGAAGAACATCATTAAGATGGGAGACATGTAAATCAGAGAGCAGATATAAAAGCCATTGGGCTTCACAAGTTGTGGAGGCCAATGCCATGTATTCTGCCTCTGCAGAAGACCTGCTAATGGTTGTTTGTTTCTTAGATTTCCAAGATACAAGAGAATTGGCCAAAAAGAAAGCATAACCAGTAACACTCTTCCTAGTATCAGTACAACCAACCCAATCACTATCACTATACCCTTTTAGCGATAATGAAAAATTTTCGGGATAGAATATACCTTGGCCAATTGTGCATTTCAAATACCTGAGAAGCCTGTGGGCAGCATCCATGTGTTGCTGTGTAGGTTTGGCAACATATTGACCAAGAATATGCACAGTGTGGGATATATCAGGTCTAGTTATAGTGAAATATAGCAACCTGCCTATTAATCTTCTATATGCACTGCTATCAATGAACACAAAATCATCAGTGGGCATAAAAGACATCTATAAATTTGGTTCCATAGGCACATTGGCAGGTCTGCAAGCAAGAAATGCAGTATCATTCAAGATATCCAAAATGTACTTTCTTTGACAAAGTTGAATGCCATTTTCTGATTGAGCTATTTCAATTCCAAGAATGTATTTCAGAGTGCCCAAATCTTTAATGGTAAAGCAACAGTCAAGATGCCTTTTAGTGGCCAAAGTAGCAGGGAGATTATCACCAGTGACAATGATGTCATCAACATGAACACAAAGCACAAGTGTATATTCAGTAGATGAGTGAACAAATAATGAAGGATTAGCTGCAGATTGGGTAAAAGCATAAGATAGAATACAATCATTTAATTTAGAGAACCACTGTCTAGATGCTTGTTTTAAACCATAAAGACTCTTTTTAAGTTTGCAAACTCTTGAGTCATATTTAGAAAGATAGCCTGGAGGTGGTTTTATATTGATATGGGATATTATATACACAAGGCTAAACCGGTCTGCTTGGCCGGTCGAGAAGATTAAACTAGGAGAGAGCCAAGCCAAAAGGTGGGAAGATCGAACATTCAGAGAATCGACCAGGTAGGTGGTCGACCAACCCATCACACGACCAGACAAACGATCGAGCGACCCATCGCTCGACCAATACATGATCGGGCAGCCTATTCGACCTCAATAGGTCGATTGTTTTGAGGAACCAACAGTCGACCTAGTCATGGGCGCGTGTAGCACCGGCGCGCGTAAGAGCCTCTAACTGAATCCCAGGAGAATATTTACCCCATGTGCAGGGGGAACACGTGTCGGCAATGTATTGGGTGATAGCGATTACCACCTCTGACAGCTCCAAACTTCCCGCGCCACCTCTGACATGTGCGCGGCGTGTCAGAGTACGGACGGGCAACTAGGGCAGCCGGCTCATCCCTATCCGGGCAGCTATTAGGGCAAGTATCTCACCTTTATATAAAGGGGGTGAGCCTTTCTCCCTTAACACATTCTATTTTTCCATACTTCACTTCAGTATACTCATACACATACTGACTTAAGCATCGGAGGCTCTTCACCGGACACAACCCCCGGTGTGAGAGTTATTTGCAGGTTTCTTTCGTTCTACCGGCAAGGACCCAGATCCATCCGTTCAAACCGGACCAGGACGCTTACACTTGTATTATTGGCGCCATCTGTGGGGATTCTTTGTTCAAAAAGTTGTGTTTGAAGCTCCGCTATGGCGGACGGAATTCCTAAAAACTTGCAGTCGACGTTCGATGAAGCTTGGACGACGACCAGGCCGTTGGGGCACGGCCTTCCTCCGGGATTTTCCGGCCCATCGCAGACTCCGGTCACTACCGCACCTAACTTTCAAGGTGTAGGAGTGACGATGGTGATTCCTAGAGGAGATGCCAGCTCCAGTCAGGCCCAGGAGGCTCGTGTAGCAGCAGCAGCGGCGATGCCACCACCACCACCACCAGATCCAACACAAGGGCAGGGAGGAGTGCTGGCACAAGGAGGAGTGCCACCACAGGCAGCCATACAAGCCCCCGGCCAACAAATGGTGGCAATGACCCGAGAGGAGATGCAGAGGATACCGGCGGCCGCGGCGGCGCAGACGGTGCAGCAAGTTGCGAGTCATACATCTCATTCCACCACTGCGCCGACCACGGTGGCCGGAAGCCAGGATGAGGATGTGTCTAGTTATGGAGAAGGAGGAGCTGGAAGAGATCGGGCAATGGAGAGGATGGCGGAGCAGTTGCGCCAGCTGCAAGACAAGGTGGAGGGGAGGCCAGAGAGGAGAGCTCGAAGACATCCCTTTTCAAGGGAGATTCTCGCTGCTCCTTTTCCAAACAATTTCAAGGAGACCAACTTGGTGTATGACGGGTCATCTGACCCATCGAGGCATGTGAGGACCTTTGAAAATATGGCTGTGTTGCATGGGTACTCTGATTCTGTTTGTTGCAGGGCATTTTTATCGACCCTGCGTGGAGGAGCACTTGATTGGTTTCATCAACTTCCCCCTGGGTCGATCGCGAGCTTTGAGGACTTTACTGGCAAGCTTATCAATTAATATTCGAGCGCGGTGGTGCAGGAGAAAACCTATTTGACTTTGATGGCGATGAGGCAGGGGGAGAAGGAATCATTGAGGAAGTATGTTGCTCGATATAACCAAACATGTTTAGAGGTGCACTCGGCTTCGGACGAGGTGAAGGCGGGTAGATTGATAAGGAGTCTTCGAGCAGGGCCTTGTCGAACGTCCCTGGCAAAAACCCCTGCTCGATCATATGAGGATGTTCTGAAGCGGTGCAGGAAGTATATTAACTTGGAGGAAATAGAGATGGAGTTTGCAAAGTTGGAGGGAGTGGCTCGACCAGAGCCAAAAAAGGAGAAAAGTCCGCAGAGGGGGAGATCGCCGAGGATGAATTCGCCCAAACGGAGTGGGCAGAAGAGGGCATCACCCCGAAGAGAGAGTCGAGATTCGAAAAGGGAGAGGAGAGATGAGTGGCAGAGGAGGCCGATGTTGTTCGAGAGACAGAGATACCACACTTTCACGCCCTTGAGGAAAGACATGACAGAGGTCCTCGAAGACGAGGTTTACAGGTCCAATTCGACCTAGGTCGGATATTTACTGTCGCTTTCACCGAGATTATGGCCACACCACGGAGAATTGCAGACATTTGAAAGATGAGATCGAGAGGCTGATTCGAGCGGGATATTTGAAAGAATTTGTGTATCATGACAGGGTGAAAGGGAAAGGACGGAGAAGGTGTAGGGAGGATTCGGAAGAAAGGAGTGATAGAGATGAGGAGGGAGATGGCAGAGATGGTCGAGACGGTCGAGGAAAGAAGCCAAGGAGAGATGGCGATAAAGAGAGGCATGGAGGAGAAGCCCCGGTGAAGAGAGGGACGATTTACATGATCTCCGGTGGGCCAACGGATGGAGACTCGAATAGGGCCAGGAAGGAGCATGATCGAGCTGTGAAGAGGAAAAGAGAGGAGGTGGGGATTACGGCTCGCATGCCGGCCATAAGTTTTAAAGCGGAGGATGCCGATGGAGTGGTCATACCGCACAACGACGCTTTGGTGATAACCGCGGAGGTTGCAGACTTCGACGTGAAAAGGGTGTTTATTGACACCAGAAGTTCGGTGGACGTGATGTTTTATGACTGTTTCGTGCAAATTAACAAAGAGCTGAATACGGAGTTGAAACTGGTAACCACGGAACTCTATGGCTTTAATGGAGGGGAGGTGATGCCGATGGGTGAGGTGAGTTTGCCAGTGGCGCTGGGAGTGGGCGAACTGAGAAAGGTGCGCATGGTGAAGTTTGTGGTCGTAGGGGTTGAATCATCTTATAACATCATTATGGGGCGGACGAGCTTGAACGTGTTCCAGGCGGTCGTATCCACGTACCACATGACGATTAAATATCTGGTGGGCGAAAACGTAGGGGAGATTGCTGGGGACCAGCTCACTTCGAGGAGCTGCTACCAAATGACAGTTAGCAATAATAAGCAGCTGGCGAAGAGGCAGGCCCAGTCAGAGGAGGAGAGGATTAATCGGCCAGGTGGGTCGAGATCGAAGGAGGATAAACAAAGAATGGAGAAGGGCAAGGAGAAGATGGATATTCAGCCAGGGGGAGAGGTGGAGGAGATTCAGATGATCGAGGGGTGTGAAGAGAGGAAGTTCAGAATCGGGAAAGACTTGGAGGAGCCTATTCGGTCGAGGCTTATCGATCTGGTCAGGGAGTTCGCGGACATTTTTTCCTACACCGCGGAGGAGTTAACGGGGATAAGTGCAGAAGTGATCGAGCACCGGCTGAACATCGACCTCAGTGTGAGGCCGGTGAAGCAAAAAAGAAGACACCATGGGGCCGAGATGGACAAAATCATTGAGAAGGAGGTCGAGAAGTTATTGGGAGCAGGGCATATCAAGGAAATCCAGTTTCCCGAATGGTTGTCAAATACGGTGATGGTGTCGAAGGCGGAGGGAAAATGGAGGATGTGCATTGATTTCCGTGACCTGAACAAAGCGTGCCCGAAGGATCTATACCGGCTACCCAGAATCGACCAGCTGGTCGACTCAACGGAAGGGTGCGAACTGTTGAGCCTGATGGATGCCTCCCAAGGATATCATCAAATTCCTTTGGCGAGAGAAGACAGGAAGTGTGTGAGTTTTGTAACAAATCGAGGGACCTATTGTTACGTGGTCATGCCGTTCGGTCTAAAGAATGCGGGTGCCACATATCAAAGGTTGGTCGATAAAATTTTCAAGGAGCAACTGGGGAGGAACGTGGAGGTATACGTGGACGATATGTTGGTGAAAAGCAAGGAGGAGTTGGATCATGTGCGAGACTTGAGAGAAACATTCCTAACATTGCGGAGATATGGGATGAAATTGAATCCTGCTAAGTGCTCTTTTGGGGTGAGATCGGGGAAGTTATTGGGCTACTTGGTGACCAAGAGAGGTATTGAGGTGAATCCAGAGAAGGTTCGAGCTGTAATGAAGATGAAGCCGCCGACGAATGTTAAAGAAGTACAGATCTTAGCTGGTCGAATTGCGGGGCTGAGCCGTTTTATATCGAAGGTGGCGGAGAAGAGTGGTCCATTATTTAAAACATTGAAGAAGAGTGCAAAATTCCAATGGACGGAGGAGGCGCAGGGCGCCTTTGAGGAGCTGCGAAGAGTGTTAGCCAACCTTCCCCTATTGGCTAAACCTGTGCAGGGCGAGGAGCTGGTGCTATACATTTCTGTAGGAGACAGGGCGGTAAGCTCGGTATTGTTACGGGAGGAAAGAGTAACGCAATTTTCTATCTATTACGTGAGCAGGGTGATGCAAGGGGCGGAAATGAGGTATTCAGAGATCAAGAAGTGCGCTTTGGCTGTGGTCGCGACCGCTTGAAAGTTGAGACCCTATTTCTTGAATCATAAGGTGAAGGTGCGAACAAACATGCCACTGGGAGAAACACTCGGCCGACCATCGGTCTCCGGTCGATTGGTGAAATGGGCGGTCGAGTTGAGTGAATATTCTTTATTGTATGAACCAAGGAGAGCCATAAAGGCGCAGGTGTTGGCTGATTTTATCCAGGAAGGCACGAAAGTCGAGGGGGAATTAGAGGGAGTATGGCAGCTGTTTGTGGATGGATCAGTGGCGCGAAGTGGGGCAGGTTTAGGAATTGTCCTTGTTTCTCCTAAAGGCGATTACTTGGAATTCGCCGTCAAAATGGGGTTCAAAGTATCCAATAACGAGGCCGAATATGAAGCAGTAATCAAAGGCCTGAGTTTAGCCAAGGCGGGAGGAGCTCGAAAAATACAAGTGCATTCTGATTCTCAACTGGTGGTTGGGCAATTTCAGGAGGGATTTGAAGTCAAGGAGGACCAGATGCAAAAGTATGTAGACGAGATGAGGAAGTTGAAGAAGGAGTTCGATTCATTCGAGCTGATACAAATTCCTCGAGGAGAAAATGGTCGAGCGGACCTACTATCGAAAATCGCTCAGAGCTTGGTGGACTGCAAGAGCAGAAGTGTCACTTTATTGCATCTTGAAAGGAGTATGGTCGAAGCAGAAGTGGCGGAGATCGAAGAAGTGGAAGATTGGAGGGCCCCAATCTTGGAGGAGCTGAAAGAATGAGCGATAAAAGTGGTGAGGAGGTTTTTCGAGCCGGGAGGCATTCTTTACAAACGGTCGTATGGGGGGCCCCATCTGCGGTGTGTTACTAAGGAAGAAGGTCGATACATACTGAGAGAGATGCACGAAGGATGCTGCGGTGATCATAGCAAGTCGGGGGCTTTGGTCGCAAGGATTTTAAGAGCGGGATATTTTTGGCCAACGATGAGGGAAGATGCGAAAGCAATGGTGAAGAAGTGTTTGCAATGCCAAAAACATGGCCCCCTTATCCACCAACCAACAGAAGCAATGACAACGATGAGTGCCCCTATACCATTCGCCAGTGGGGTATCGAACTGGTGGGGCCGATGCCTCAGGGAACCGAGCAGAGGAAGTTCTTAATAGTAGCGGTCGATTATTTCACAAAATGGGTGGAAGCCGAGCCCTTGGCAAAAATAACGGAGGAGAAAGTAATTAAATTTCTATACAATAACATCTGCTGTCGGTTTGGCGTACCCAAAGTGTTGATCTCCGACAACGGCATTCAATTTAATGGTAAGCGGATTCGAGCGTGGTGTGAAGACATGAAAATCGAGCAACACTTTGCTTCCGTTGCTCATCCGCAAGCCATTGGCCAGGTCGAGGTAACCAACCGAATTATATTGAGTGGGTTGAAAACAAAGTTGGAGAAGGCCTCGGGAGCATGGGTCGATGAACTGAGTTCTGTACTTTGGGCATATCGCACAACCCCGAGGTCGACGACAGGAGAAACCCCGTTCAGCTTAGCTTATGGAATGGAAGCGTTGCTGCCGGTCGAGGTCGAGTTATCATCCCAGAGGTCGAGCACGTATGATGCTGAACAGAACGAGGAGCTGATGATGGCGGCCTTAGATACTATTGAGGAGCTGCGCGAAAAAGTATCAATCAGGGTGGAGGCATACAAGCAAAGGATGCGAGCCGCTCACGACAAAAAGGTGAAGATTCGCATACTCCAAGTGGGCGACCTAGTTTGGAAGCGTGTCGATGTGCTCAAGCATGTGGGAAAGCTGGAGCCGAATTGGGAAAAGCCATATCTGGTCGAGCGAGTGCACG